TCTTCTTGCTCCTTGTGTCCTAGCAGGGAACTATCTCTTCCATGGAGAAATTTAAATCCTCCGGGGGAGGTGGAAAATCTTCCCTGCCCTTACGGCTGGAAGAACCCCCCCCCTTCCTCTCTAACTGGTAACTGCATCACACTGAGGAGGAGGAGGAGGAGGAGGAGGAGCAGCAGCAGCAGCAGCAGCAGCAAGGGACCATTGAACCCCCATGCCTGGGGCACTCTGTCCTACTCTTGCACCAGCTCTGTCCCATTGCTGAGCCGTTAAGGCAGCCTGAGAGGGGGGGGGCGCAGTCAGGATTGTGGGGTATGCTGGCAAAACACTTTCAAGAAACCCATAAAGGATCCTTTTCGGCTCCTCAGAGTTTGCATCCCCATATGGATTATGGAGTTTCGGAGGGTTTTGTCGAACCATTAGCACAATTCCATCACTGGGGTATTGTTTTGGGTTCATCATTATTGAGGCAAAGCATCCTGCATGTGCCAAGTCTCCTCTTTCTATTTTGCCTGGAGTTAGTCTGCACCAATCAATCAGCACCCCGATGTTCTCTGCCTCTAAGATTCCCTCCTCCAGCCACGGAGGGAAAATTTCCTTTTGAGATGGCCAATCTTTGTTACAAAGATAAATTAATCTCTTTCGTCATCCCGAACTGGGAATCTCCCAGAGCTCACCAATTTTTAATTACACACCGTGCCAGAAGTCTTCCGTACACCTAGCACTAGGATTTTTTCTCCACAGGTCTGGCTTGCTTTCACTCTCATACGTGCACCGCCCCTCGCAGCGGGGCAGGACATGCTACTGGCGAACGGAACACACTGGCTTTCAACTCTGGCAGTCGTTGGTCTCAGACCTCGTGCCAAAATTGGGGCATCTATGCCCCGTTCGCTGAGCAGTCCTGGTCGCCCCCGGGAGGCAAGACAATGGACACACACACCGTTCCTTTCAACCGGACCGCCTGGTTTTTCCTTTCAACTGGAAAAACCTACCCGGAGTATCCAACTGTACTCACCTCTTCTGGCGCAGCTCAAGGGAAATTCCCAGGCAGGAATCGTCAGATCTTCCCTTTGTGGATCTCTTAGGGGTCACTGGGCCCCAAAGGGCCTCTCCCTTTCAGGATCACCGGACACTTAAAGACATCCCAGATGAGCCCCCATTTCTGTTAGCAAAATTTGAGTTTCTGACTCTCCCCAGTTAGGATTCAGTCCAGCAGAAGATCAGACACGAAAGTACCA